ACCTTGCGCTTGCCAGGCAGGCACTGCACCACTGAGCTAAATCCCCAGCCCCTCTGCTGTGCTTTTTAATACTTTTTTATTTTTAAATTTTGAGACATGTTTCACTAAGTCACAAAAACGTCCAGGCTGGGCTTGAATTTGTGATCTTTTTCTCTTAGCCTCCCAGAGTGCTGGGACTGCACCACCACACCCAGCTGGCTAATCAGCTAATCTTAGCCAATTGTATTTCATCCATATCATACTTACTCTAATTCTTCTCTTGCCTCCCTTAATGAATGGTTTTGAAGTCAACCCTAGATATCCAACTATTTCATCCATATGTGTCCCTAAATATAGGACTCTAAAAAGTAATGATTAATAAATTCCTTAATATAAAAAAATCCAGTCCATATTCATATTTCTGTTTCATGAATATTTTCTTAAGAATTAATTTTTTTTTCCTGAGACATGGTATTGCTATGTAGCCCAGGCTGGCCTCGAACTCAAGGCAATCCTTCTGCCTCAGTGTCCCGAGTACTGGGATTACGGGCTTGGGCCACCAGGCCTGGCTAAACTCATAGTTTGGATAAGCAACAGTAATTAACTTTGAAGGCAACTTCTAGGACCCCTGGCTCCTTGCCTGTGGTTTGAGGCACACATTAATGATACTTCCTCTCACCAATAACACTTACGAAAAAGGTGCTCCAAAGGTTAAAGACAGACTGTAACGGCATACACCCATGTGATATGTGTTCTGTTCCAAGGCTGGAAACAGGGACTGGACATGCTCACACCAGTGACCCATGACAATGAGGATGAAGCCCACACAAAGTGTTTCACAATGTGACTGAGACCTAGGATGGCCAGGAGTTAGAGCTCACTGCCACAGAGCCGAGGACAGCACCTGCTCCTCACTCCTTGGCCTGTCTGCCTGCGTCTCTGAGACCTGAGCCCCTTTCCTCTGCATCTGTTTGTGCTCCCCATAGGCCATTTGCCTCTGGACAGAACTTGCGGGACTACTACAGACTCAAAGGTGCATTTGTCAGTGGCTCTCTCCTGATTGACACCAGGAGGTGACAGGTGAAAGGTACACTGACTGCCCGGCTTCCCAAACCTGGGCCATGGAAGCACCTGGGCCCTCTCCTCCTCCACACCAATGCTTCCCTGGGGAAGCCTGGTGAGTATTAAAAGCTCTCAATCCGTCCTTCACTAATCCCTGCTACTGCCTATGTCAGATCACCACTCTCTTTGCCATGCTAGTGCTCAGTCTCTACCTCCAAACTTCCTTTTAATTCTTTTTTCTTCTTTTTTAGTCAGGGTCTCACTATGTAGTCTGTGCTGGCCTTGAACTCATGATCCTCCTGCCTCAGGCTTCCAGACAGGTGCTGGATTATAGACATGTGCCACAATCCCTGGCTCATAGTTCATTTTTTTTCACTGTAGTCAAAATAATCCTCCAAAGACAGAAATCTGAGCATGTCATTTTCCTACTTAAAATATCGCGGCAGGTTCCAAGTACTGATAGTCTCCAGACTTCTTGCTGGCTTTACCTATCTACCATGCAGCACTTCTCAGGGCCCTGTGCATACTCCAACCACCATCAGGCCTTCATTTCTCTACCTAGAACCACTTTTTCCTTTCTTTTTGTTGGGCAATTTCTCCTTTTCAGGGCAGACAACTTGATGGCACCTCTTTCAGAAACTCCCCTTATCCCTAAGACTGGGTTAGACCAGGCTCTTTTTTATGTGTGTGTTTTTGAGACAGGGTCTCCCTATGCAGTTCAGGCTGGCCTTGAACTCACTTTGTAGCCCAGGCTGGTCTTGAACTCACAACGATCCTCCTGCCTCAGCCTCCCAAGTGCTGGGATTACAGGTATGCGCCACCACGCAAGACCAGGTTCTTAATAAATACTTGTTGATCCGTCAATAAACCAAGTATTGTAAAAGACATGCAACCTGACCCAATCATCTAAGCTGGGGGCCTTCACACATCACAAGTTTTCCACTTAGAAGTCTGAGTAAACAGCCATCTTCAAAGGTTTCTAAGACTTAATTGTGTGCATGAGCATATATGTGGTACAAATTTTGTAAGATCCAAAAGCATATTTAGTAAAATGTTTCTTCTCTTTTTCTCTGGTACCTTGAGCCCTTGAACTAGTGTCCAATGAGGGACACTAGTTCTCCCCCTAGAGACAACTACTGATCACTAGTATTTGGATACACTTGCTCACATCTCTGTGTGTGTAGGAATGCAGGCATACATAGGATCACTCCTTTTCTCCCCTCCCTTCCTCTCTTTTGCAGTAGCCAGGAGTGAACCCAGGATTTGTATGTTGAGTTACAACCCCAATCTGCCTGTCCTCCCTCCTGTCACCTATCTACCTACCTACCTATCTACCTATCTATACCTATTGTTTTGAGACAGGGTCTTGCTATGTTGTTCAGGCCATCCTTGAACTCACTAGGCCAGCCTGTGATTGCCGCAATCTTCCTGCCTCAGTCTTCCAAGTGCTGGGACTACATCGTTATTTTTTTATTTTGAGACAAGATCTTATAAAGTCACTAAATTGCACAGGTTGGCCTCAAACTTGTGAATATCCTGCCTCAGCCTCCCAGGTGCTGGGATTACAAGCCTGGGCCATGTCCAGGTAGTAAGATCACATTTTAGGATCACATTTTCTTTCTTTCTTTTTTTTTTTTTTTTTGTTCTTTTTGAGACAAGGTTTCATTATGCAGTTCAGGCTGGCCTTCAGCTCACTTGTAGCCCAGGCTGGCCTCGAACTTGCAACCATCCTCCTGCCTCAGCCTCCTGAGTGCTGAGAGGGTCATATTTTCTTGTGTGCTTCTCCCACACTCAAAATCTTTACACTCCAGGTCCTTGTGTTGATTGCAGAGCCAGGGAACTCAAATGGTAAACACCTCAGGGCCTTGTTTCTTCTATTTAAAAAGGCTCAACGCACACCCTTTCTACTCCGAAGCTTCCCACTGCCAGGGATGCCTCCAATGAGGGACACTGGTGGCGCTTGTGCTCTAGCTCCATTTTTTATTTATTTATTTATTTATTTATTTATTTATTTAGTCAGTCTTTTTGAGACAGGGTCTTACTATGCGGTTCACGCTGGCCTTGAGCTCACTTTGTAGCCCAGGCTGGTCTTGAACTACAAGGATTCTCCTACCTCAGTCTCCCAAGTGCTCAGATTACAGGTGTGCACGCACCACCATGCCTGGCTACATTTAGCAAGGCCACTGTGGCGGCATCTGGGGAACAGCAAGGCCAGCCTGGGGAGCCTGGTTTCTGAGTGCATGCCTTGGTGCAGTCACAGAAAGTCACTGGAGCCTCTGGAGACTGAGCAGGTCATGGCAGACAGGGTTCTGGAACACTCAGCCTGTTTTGGGATGGCAGACAAGGATGCTGGAACCAGTAAGGGGCCCAGGAGACTCACAATGCTGGAAAACAACAGGGTCTCACTACACAGTCCAGGCTGGCCTTGAACTTATTATGTAGCCCAGGCTGGCCTCAAACTCCTGGCAATCCTCCTGCCTCAGCTTCCTGCATGTTGGGATTATGAGTGTGTGCCACCATGTCTGGAAACTCTGGTATCTTCTTTGTTTTGTGTTTTTTTTTCCCCCCAGGTACTGGGAATTGAACTCACGACCTTGTGCTTGCCAGGCAGGTGCTGTGCCGCTGAGCTAAATCCCCAGCCCCTCTGGTATCTTCTTTGGAAAAAGAAATGGGAGAGTCAGACTAGCACAAATGTGGCCAGATGAAAAGGGCAGCAGGGTCAAGGCGCAGCCTGGTATGCCTAAGAAGAAGGCTGAGCTCTCGGTCTCTGACAGACATGTCTTGTCCCGAGTCATGCCAGCTGTGCGTGTACCATATGGGCAATGCTATAGGGCTGGCATTCCAGGGCAGTGACTAGGCATGGAAAAGGGACCGTGCTTTAGAGAGAAACAAGAAAAAGGATTATCCCCAGCATTCTTTAGGCCAGCTATGTACACTGCCACCTGCCAAGAGGAAATGCCATCTGTGAGGCAGGCTGAGCAGAGACCTGGTGCACAGGGTAAATAGGCCGTGGAGAGCGCTTTCATCTTGTCTGGGCCACAGAGTCCTTTATTCGGTGTAAAGGAGCCGACACCCACACTCAGCCATGGCCTCACCACTTTAGGCTCTGGAAAGCGGGCAGTCTACCCGCGCCTGTTCCAGAGCAGGGAAACATTCTCGTGGTTGACTGTCCCAGACTGGGCTAAAGGCTTCCAGCAACCCCAGAGGAAATGAAGGTCACTTCATTTACCCATACAAATTTCTTTTTTTTTTTTTTCAAGACAGGGTCTTCTATGTAGTCCCAGCTGTCCTCAAACTTGCAGCCATTCTCCTGCCTCAGCCTCCCAAGTTCTGGGATTACAGGGGTGCATCACCACACTTGGCCTCTAGAAACATTTTTTTTTTTTTTTTTTTGGTCTTTTTGAGATAGGGTCTCGCTATGCAGTTCAGGATGGCCTTGAGCTCACTTTGTAGGCCAGGCTGGTCTTTTTTTTTTTTTTTTTTTTTTTTTTTTTTTTTTTGGTTTTTCTCTGGTACCGGGAACCGAACTCACAACCTTGCGCTTGCCAGGCAGGCACTTTTGCCGCTGAGCTAAATCCCCAGGCCCCAGGCTGGTCTTGAACTCGCAACAACCCTCCTACCTCAGCCTCCCAAGTGCTGGGATTACAAGTGTGCGCCATCACGCCCAGCTCTAGAAACTTTTATTTTTTATTTTTCTCGGTACCGGGAATTGAACTCATGACCTCGCGCTTGCCAGGCAGGTGCTGTGCCACTGAGCTAAATCCCCAGCCATCTAGAAACTTTTAAAAGCAGTTCATGGCTGTATAGTATCTCCACTTTGCTTTTAGGCCCACATTTTAAAGAGTCCTGCATGCTGTTTAAACACTGAACTTGCGTACTAGTCCTTGGATTTTTGTAAGACACACACATTATCTTTGGTTACAACACAGTCCTTTCCTCATTGTAAAATAATCTTTTGTTGTTAAAAGCAATGAATCAGGGAACCTGACTCATGACCGGGAGCAAAGGGAAGTAATATGCCCCCTTGGGATATGAAGTGTTTGTCCACAGATAAGTGGTGGATCCCACCTCCAAACGAACCATCAAATCTCACCTTTTCCCTCTAAGTGAGGAAAAAGGAAACACTGGCCCTCTTATCTCTCTTCTTCCCAGACTGACCATGCCCAAATCAAGCTAATCTATAGGATTCTATGGGCCCAGGCACAAAAGGAAGACATTTACCAAGGCACTGTTACTCCACGAGTCTCTTGGAGTTCAGAAAACAGCATATAAGGCCTCAAGGTCATCTGCTCATATCCCTAAGCATTACACAGGCCCAGAATTTGACACATATTGCTCTTGACCAATGAGTTAGAAGGCAGTGTTAATGTAATGCGCCTGCCAAGTGTAAGTGCAGCCTGTCTTGCCCTAGGCACAGTGATGGCTAACCTTTTATTTATTTTTTAAAAATTTTTTATTTTTTGGTACCAGTAATCAAACTCAGGACAGTGCTTGCCAGGCAGGCGCTGTGCCACTGAGCTATATCTCCAGCCCTAGGCAACCTTTTAGAGCTTTCAATGGTAACAGCTGGCTGCAACAGCGGCGCTGGGTTCACCACCACTGGCTTAGGGGTTTCACACCAAGAGGGGTTTCTCTCTCGGGATGCAGGCCAAGCGCTATGCCAGGTTCATGGACAATGAAGCCAGTGCTTTTCCAAGTGCTCTCTGTCAGGGAAGCCTGACCATCACGCAAAGATATAGAGGGCACCAAGAGAACAAGTGCCAAGGAGAAGGTGGCATCAGTGCTTACAAGAATGAGGGAGGGCTTAGGACAGATCAGCAAGTCTTGGTACAACTACTGGCCAGCACCATTAATCAGGCAAGCACTCTTTCAACTTCCCTGGAAGAGACCACTTCCCTGAGTCAACCTTTACTCTCAGTCCGGACTCTGGACCTCCAAGAACTTCTGCTTAGCTGCCTGGCCTCGAACTCATGGTAAGCCTCCTGTCTCAGCCTCCCAAGTGATGGTTTACAAGTGTCTGTCACCATGCCCAGCAAAGTAACAATTCCTGAAAGCATCTTCCTCTATCTATCATCCTTTTTTCAAAGCCCCAAACACTCTAATACATCATTCACACTTGCCCTCTTCCAGTACTTCACCGGCTGGCTGTTCCTCCACATGGATTTGGCTTCAGCTATCACCTGCCCACTAACGTTCTCTTATGGAGGTGACTAGAGTCCTTCACATTTGCAAAGCCAATGGGCTTTCTTCTCTCTTCTCCTTGAGGTCTCTGCAACATTAAACTTGACTGATCTTTCCCTTTCTTCATTGTCTGAAGTAATGCTTTTTCCTTCTTCTCCTTTTGGTGTCCTGGACTTCTCACTTCTCTCCACATCCCTGACAGTCTGGTCTTTTTAATTCTACATCTGGAAACTGGTTAACTACAGTCCATGCCCTTGGCTTTGACCATGACTTCCAAACATGTAACCTAGTAACAGGTAGCTCTCTTTGGTTTATCCTAGACCTATTTTCTCTTGTGCTTTCTATTTCAAGGAGAGGTACTGCTAACTTTCCCAGTCTTCAAAGCTGGAAACCTAGGAGTCCTCCTAGATACCTCTTTCTCCAACTCATACTCCACATCTAGTCTTCCACCAGATCCTACTGACCAAACCTCCACAAAATCTCCTTAACTTACTTAGGTGACACTGTGGATAGACCCAGTCAACCTCCATTCTACCCTGCTTCTGGGGTGCAGTATATGGAGATTAAAGGTGTGTCTAAAAGCTGCTACCTGGTATAGCAGTCCAATACACACATTTCTCCCTTTGGGGACCAGCCTTCTGCCCCATTGAGCACCCAGCTTAGCTGTTTTTCAGGACAACACCACTGGTATCCTGTTGTCTCTGCTCCCTGCAGACTAGCAACGGGATCAACAGGACACAACTGCGCTGAGGACAAGTTGTTTTCTTGCTCTTCCATCAGATTTCTACTTGCAGTGCTGCCTCAGAAAGCCCAGCCTCCAGGTCTAGCTCCTGACAACAATGAGCACTTCATCACCACTGCAGGGAACTTACAATTTATTCTGTATCTCCAGGCATCACAGATTATATGACTAGAAAGTGCAGCTTCCACGGTTACTAGGTAGGAGGACAATGGAAGGTTGAACACAACCTGCAGGATGGGAGGATTTTTCTAATGCTTTTAAGGAGGTGTGGAAAATTCCAACGTGTGTGTGGGGGTGGGTATTAAGGAACACAGGCCCTCATGGGCCAAATTCCATACTCTTGGGACAGATGTCTATCAAAAGCTTGCTGACAGGACAAACAAGCTTGCTAAGAGGATAGGAACACCTACTGAGCCCACTGATTATTGGCTACAAGGCCAGAGCAGACTTGCACTTAGGTGTGGTACTGCTGTGGCAGTTTATTGCCATTAAAAGATAAGCTCTTGGAAATCTGTCTACCAAATGTGATAGCGGAAATAATATGTCAGTCTCCCCTGGACCAATTTTGTTTGCTTTAGATTTCAGGACAGAAGCAGCGTGGAGGAGTCTAGTGCACTTGAGCAGAATGTGAAAGGCATGCAGGCAGGAAGTAAAGCAGATCGCATACCTTGTGAACACTGGTCAAGACATTTTGGGAAGAGGAATCTGGGGGAAAAGAAAAGAGAAATATGTTAAAGCCACTCATCTCAGAATTGGCACTACTTCTCACAGAAAGGTGACTCACTGTGAAAGGTCTAGGTTCAATCCAATACACACTCAGCTAATAACTACTGTTACTCTAACCCATGCACACCATGAGCTAAGCAACAAAGCACTTTTTTTGCAACAGAGCATTAGTAAATCACTGTAGTATGTCACTTTATGGAAAGAATTCAGAAGTAATTTCTCATTAGTATCTAAAACATGAACAAATTACTAACTATGACTGATTTTGCTTTTTTTGAAACAGGGTCTGACTATGTAGTTCATGCTGGCCTTTAACTCACTATGTGTAGCCCAGGCTGGCCTCAAACTCATGTGATCCTCCTGTCTCAGCCTCCTAAGTGCTGGAATTACATGCATGTGCCACTACACCTGGCTACTAACTCTGATTTACTGAATTACTATTTTTGATCTCGCAATTTGAAAAATGAGGAAATATATGTATTCATACTTCTTACTAGTCATCTCGATTATATATATATATGTATATATATATGTATATATATATATATTTATTTATTTTGGTCTTTTTGAGGCAGAATCTCACTATGCAGTTTAGGCTGGTCTCAAACTTGAGGTGATCCTCCTGCCTCAGCCTCCCAAGTGCTGAGGTTATAGATGTGCACTACCATGCCTGGTTTATTATTTATATTTTTGTATTCCATAAACCATATTTAATTTTAGCCATATTTCTATAATTAAATACATTATATACTCATCTTCAGTCCTTTTTATATCTTATTTATTTAAAACATCTTGCCAGGCATGGTGGCGCACAGCTATTGTTCCAGCACTCAGGAGAACTCACTATGTAGCCTGAACTATATAGCGAGTTCTAGATAAGCCTGAAGTATATACTGAGACCCTGTCTCAAAAAAAAAAAAAAAAAAATCTTTAGCTGAGCATGGTGGCACATGCCTGTAATCCCTACACTCTGGGAAACTGAGGTAGGAAAATGGCAAGTTTGAGCTCAGCCTGAGCAACTCAGTGACTTAGGAGGACCCTGTCTCAAAATACAAAAATAGGGGCTGGGGATTTAGCTCAGTGGCAAAGCGCCTGCCTGGCAAGCGCAAGGTCGTGAGTTCGGTTCCCGGTACCGCAGAAAAACCAAAAAAAAAAAAAAGAGCTGGAAGTGTAGTTCAATGAGAAGGCCCTGGTTTTAATCCCTAGTACCGCGCACATGCACACAAAAGAAAGGTTCCCGCCCTCACACAAGCTAACTCTATGTTCTGTAGTTCCTCTTTTTTTTCTGGCTTTGGGTCTTTTGAGGACCCAGAATTAATCAAAGAATAATGGAGCACTTAGTACACACAAGGTAGAGAGTTGCATTGCTAAAGTCAAACATGCATAAAGATGTGCCTCCTAGCAGGCAAGGAGCAAGTTTCTGACCTGAATGTACTTAAATACAGCACAGGCTATGGGCCAGAGGTGGTCAGAAGCACCTACCTGTGTTCCATGTAGCAGCTTAGAGGGTCCATGCACACTGTGACAGCACCGATGCTGAAGGAAGACCTGACATCTGCGTCTGGGTGGGTCTGCAGGGCCTGCACCACATCAATCACATCTGTGTAGCTGAGGAGGGGAGCAGTGATTAGTTTTCTGGCTGGGGCTGCACTGTTGGGGGAGAGCGGAGTTCTGAGGGGTCGGGTGAGCAAGGGCAGAAGGAAGATCAAAAGGCTGGGGATTTAGCTCAGTGGCACAGCGCCTGCCTGGCAAGCGCAAGGTCATGAGTTTGATTCTTGGTACCGGAAAAAACCAAAAAAACCAAAAAGAAAAAAAAAGAAAAGGATGAAGAGCCTGTGATTGGGAGGGTGGGTTTTTTTTTCCTTCCTTTCTTCCTTCAACAGGGTCTCAGAAATTAATTAATTTTTTTTTTTTTTTTGGTCTTTTTGAGACAGGGTCTCACTATGCAGTTCAGGCTGGCCTTGAACTCACTTTGTAGCCCAGGCTGGCCTCGAACTTACAGCAATCCTCCTGCCTTAGCTTCCCCCAGTGCTAGGATTACAGGTCTGCACCACTATGCCAGCAATTTATTTATTTTTGGGATAAGGTCTTGCCATGTAGTTCAGGCTGGCCTTGAGTTCACTGTGTAGCCTAGGGTAGCCTTGAGGTTGAAGTGATCCTCCTGTCTCAGCCTCCTGAATGCTGGGATCATAGGTGTGTGCCACCATGTCCGGCCCATGTGATTGGGTGTTTTGAGAACCTGGGATCCAAAAAGTGCTTCTGCATTTCCAAGTTGTTAGTTCTTTTTTTTTAAATTTTTTTGAGACAGAGTTTCACTATGCAGTTCAGGTTGTTAGTTCTTAAAACTGTACATGAGTGAATAGAAAAGCCAGCCCACTCCAGAGGTTGAAGGAAGCCTGCAGGTGACTCTGGGGCTCTGAGGATGGGACTCAGTGTCCCTGGCCTGTTTTCTTTCTTTCTTTTTTCTTCCAGTACCAGGAATTGAACTCATGACGTTGTGCTTGCCAGGCAGGTGCTGTGCCGCTGAACTAAATCCCCAGCCCCTCCCTGGCCTGTTTTCTAATCATCATGCTACTAGTGTCTATTTTTCTTCACAGTTCTTTTTTTCTCCTTCCTATTTCCCCACAGCACCAGAGCTGTACAACTTAACAGACACAGGTGGCCCCTACTCACACTCCTGTCTTCTGCCTACAGCTCCAGACTTACAGAGCCAATCTGATATTATCACTTAGAATCTAGTGTGTTCACAACCAAATGCCCAGAAGCCTGCTCCTTCCATGGTCTTGATTTTCTTAACAGAGAAGACAATTATCTTTTCAGATACTACACCAGCTGGGCGTGGTGGCACACACCTGTAATCCCAGCACTCAGACAGCTGAGGAAGGAGGGTTGTTGTGAGTTTGAGACCACCCTGGGCTACAAAGTGAGCTCAAGGCCAGTTTAAACTCCATAGTGAGACCCTGTCTCAAAAAAACCAAAACAACAACAACAAAAAAATTCAGATGCTATACCAAAAGTTTTGTTCGGGGTCTTCATTGACTCCATTTTTTTTTTTTTTTTTAAATGTCTTCAACACTCCTCTCAACTACTGGGTCCAAACTGCTACCATTTCTTGCCTAGAGCACTCCCATCACCTACCAACTGGTCCTCCTATTTTTGTCTTTGCCTCCCTCTAACCTGTTCTCAATGCAGAAGCCATCGCTTCTCGGCCTTCTGGATAAGATCAAGTGTAATATCTGTTCTTATCAATGCAGAAGCCCAGGGATACACCAAACTCTGTCAGATCAACATTGCTCTGCTCAAATCCTCCAGTGGCTTCCATCTCAGTGTGAAAGCCAAATCCCTTACAATGGGCCAGGCAGCCCTCAGGATATGACCCCCACAAGGTAGGGAAGAATTTCATCTACTGTCCTGTTCTTTCCCCTAATCCAACTACTTTGGCCTCCTGGGTCTTCCCTGAACATGCCAGGCATACTTCTACTTTTTTTTTTTTTTTGGTTGAGACAGTCTCCCTATGTAGTTCAGCTTGACCTTAAACTTACTAGGTAGCCCAGGCTGACCTTGAACTCATTGTGGATCTTCCTGTTTCAGCCTCCTGAGTACTGGGATTACAGGTGTGTGCCACCATGCCCCGAAACTTCTACCTTTGTACTCTCTGTCCCCTCTGTCTGGAATGTTCTTCTGATACTTGTATGGTTTGCTGTCTATCTCCCTTCTGGTCTCTGCTCAAGTGACATTTTTTGGTCACTGTTTTTGTGGTGTTCAACACTAAACCCAAGGCCTGTGCATGCTAGGTGAGCGCTCTACTACAGAGCTATATCAAGTGGCATCTTCTGGGAGAGGCATCCTCTGACCTCAAATACCCTGTGTGCAATCTGGTTCCAAAGAACTGATCATCAGCTACATATGCTTATTTCTTTAATCTTGTGTGTCTTTTACAATCTGCAGTCTTTTCTCGTTTGTTTAGTGACTATCTCCACAATATGAATGTGAATAGCTGCTGAATGCTATCTCTGGTGCCTCAGGTAGGGCAGATACTCAATCCCCAGCAGACTCTTGGCCATTCTGAGCACAGACACCACTGTTTCCCCTTGTAGGAGAGAACAGTGTTCTTACTGACCACCCTACCACCAAAGGCCCAGTTCTAGGAGGGGAAATCAAACTTCCCGGCAGCCTTGCACATGGGACAGGCCTGAGTCTGTCTGGGACCTTGGGAGGACAGCAGGGGTCACTGTGAGAGTCCTAGCTCTTGAGTCATTTCCCAAGTCCCTACAAACAAATCACCTGTAGAAAGGCCGTTGGCTTTACCCCAGATGACAATCGCCCCTGTCCTCTTCCCAGGTCTGGCTTCAATCCTAACTAGCGGAGCTCAGGTAGCAGGCACTGCTCCCTCTATGCACGCCTGGTGTACAGGAAACTTCAGAAGGAACCCTCTGTTCCCCGGCTTTTTCCCCAGCCCAGCCTGTGTGGGGCCACATGGGGTTCTTTCTAGAGCATGGCCTGGGTGCACCTGGGGAGCCCTGAGAGCTGCAGGCGCTACCGGGCCTCACAGCAGAACACCTGCTAAGTGGGATCAATGCTTACATGTGGTTCCAAAACTCTTTGTGGGCATTTTTAATAGATTTAACTTCCATCATTAAATGTCCAGCCTTGATGCTTAGCATTAACTTTTTTATTCTTCTAAAAATAAGTGGTTGGAAGGCCTTTTCAGTTCAATATAAGCAGTAGAGACTCATTAATTACAAGGGTTCTAGTCATTTTACTAGAACAGAATTTTCCTGAGTATGGTTAGGAATTCCCCGGTTATCAGAGTCTTTAATTCACCTGCACTGAGTTCAGTGGCAAAGGTTAGAGGGAAAAACTGGCCCAAGGCTCCTTGTGAACTCTGTCGATCTGGGGACTGCTCCAAACCAGAAAGCCTCGGCTGTTCACGCTGCTCATCCAGGAGCCCTGTTCCCTCCTTCCCCAGCCTTAAATCCACCTGGGCATGGCCTCCAGACTAAAGGATGGGCCACTGCCAAAGGAAGCCCAGGCTCACGCCACGTAGACTTTGGGCCAGATTTCTTCAGCTAAAGTGACCCAACTGCATGATGAAAGTAAAAACTTGTCTCTTTCTTTGCTACTTTCTTGTCAGCATTCTCTTTATTAGAGTAACAACACAGCGAGGTGGTGGTGCAGGTGTATAATCCCAGCACTGGAGAGGCTGAGGCAGGAGGATCATCACCAGTTTAAAGCCAGCCTGAGCTACACAGTGAGTTCAAGCTTGAATTACATAGCGAGACTTTGTAAAAGGAAAACAAGTTAAATAAAAAGGAAAACAAGTTAAATAAATAAATACAAATAACAATACAAGTCAGTGTGGTGGTACATGCCTATTTTGTTGTGCTGGGTTCTGTTTGTTGTTTTCAATATTGAGGATTAGCCAGGGCCAACCCCCCCGCCCCCCCATCCCCGGTACCGGGAATTGAACTCATGACCTCACGCTTGCCAGGCAGGCGCTGTGCTGCTGAGCGAAATCCCCAGCCCCTCAACCGTTTTTATCTTATTATTATTATTATTATTGAGACAGGGTCTTGCTATGCAGTTCAGTTTTTTTTTCCTCTTGGTACTGGGAATTGAAGTCGGGATCTTGTGCTTGTCAGGCAGGCACAAAAGCTATACCCCCAGCCCTTGCTATGCAGTTCAGGCCAGCCTTAAGCTCACTTGGTAGTGCGGCTGGTCTCGAACTTGCCATAATCTTCCTGCCTCAGCCTCCCAAGTGCTGGGATTACAGGCATGTGCCACCATGCCTGGCCCTTTTTATTAATTTTTTTTGTTGTTTTTTAAAAATTTTTTTGCTCTTTCTGGGACAGGGTCTCATTATGCAGTTCAGGCTGGCTGCCCTTGAGCTCACTTTGTAGCCCAGGCTGGTCTCAAACTTGTAACCATCCTCCTGCCTCAGCCTCCCCAGTGCTGGCATTACAGGCATGTGACACATTGACTAGCTTATTATTTTTTGAGACACAGTCTCACAAAGTTGCCTAGCCTCAGCTCCAACATTTGATCTTCCTGCCTCAGCATCCCAAGTGCTGGGATTACAGTGTGCACCACCAGGCCCAGCTGGGCTCTATTTTATGCTACAATGTGACTGGCCATATGTTTTACATTAATTTTTTTTGCTTTGAGAGATACTTTGTTTATAATGTAATTTTACATAATGTCTATACAACATTCTCTATCCAAATATAGCCTTCAAATTCCTTAAAATTAATTTTTTTTTGTGGGGGGAACCAGGAATTGAACTGAGGACCTTGCACTTGCCAGGCAGGCACTTTGCACTGAGCTATATCCCTGGCCCTCTTAAAATTAATTTTTTAAAAATTCAGGTTTCATTTATAATGTATTTGTACATTATGTTCTATACAATCTCTCAAGGCTTATGTCTACATGTCCCCCCAAAGCCTCATGCAGTCACATGAGGTGGGGTTTTTCAAAGGTGGCTGGATCTAGAGCATGTGATGCTGGGATCAACGGTGTGTGATTATTAAATTAGTCCACTCATCGATTTGGCATACTTCTGGAAGCGTATAATGGGAAGGCCCACCCTCAGTGAGAGTACTATACGCCCTTAGGATAGAATATAAGGGACCAAAAGGGAGATGCTGTGTGGCTTGCTGCCTTCAGCCTGCCATGAACAGTTTCTCTTCTGTGATGCCCCTGTGCCATGTCACCTACCTTGGAGCCAGCTGATTATGGACTGAAACCTCCACAATTTGTGAAATAAACCTCTCTTCCTTTGATTTTGGGTGTCGGGTATTTTGTCTCAGCAAGGAGGAAAGTAACTAAGACATAATGTTGTCATCTCTGTAAGTTCCATATCCACCACCACAAGCAAGATGCTAAATAGTTCTAAGATTTTCTATGTTGCCCTTTTATAACCACATCCACTTCCTTCACACTTCCCTCCTACCTGACCCCAGTTCTAGGACAGTCTGAACTGCCTAACGAGACCCTGCCTCAAAACCAAACAAAAAAGGGAAAAAAGAAAAAAAAAAGTTGTTTAAAATAAGCTAATCCAATCCTTTGTTTGTTTTTTGATTTGTTTTTGGAGACAGGGTCTTACTATGTGGTTCAGGACGGCCTTGAACTCACTTTGAAACCAAGCTGGCCTTGAACTCACAGCAATCTTCCTGCCTCAGCCTGCAAGGGCTGGGATTACAGGCATGGACCACCATGCCCAGCTGTATTGTTAACCTCTAATAAAGATAAAATATTCAATTAAATACAAAATTCAATTTTTGACTCCCCTTTGTTAACAGCTTTACTTGATGTCAACGTTCAACACCACTGGGTCCACAACAGCACTACACTAAATTAAATGGGACCAGGTAACTCTTGCCATGTATCACAGATTTTGCTCCATAAAATGTTGTAAATGAAAATATAAAAGCTGGTGTAGGGGCGCATGTGTATAATCTCAGTACTCTGAAGGTGGAGGTAGGATTGTGGGGAGTTCAAGGCCAGCCTAGGCTACACAGTGAGTTCAAGGCCAGCCTGAGACTATATATAGTGAGACCCTGTCTCAAAAAAGCCAAAGGAAAAAAAAAAGGAAGAAAATGTAAATTATTTAGGAAATAAAATTCTCATGATCAATATATGTCACATGCATGTATACAAATAGCACACTGAAACCCATTGCTTTGTGAAATTAGGAGGTATTAATAAAAATATACTGTATTAAAGACATCAAATCAATTTGTGAAGCCCCGGGATCTTCCTTTACCAGCAACCTCAATAATGGGCATGGGGTACAACAGCTGCAAGGAGATGGACACACTATAAAGTAGGCTGCTACATGTTTTCTGCCCGGCTCAGCTGACAAGGAAGTGCCTGAGTAATGAGCCACAGAATTTAGACAGTATTCTGACTTGAGTCCTCCAGGAAGTTACTGGGGTCACTCATGTCCTGGGGCTGTGACTGCGCAAAGGCTGGATCTACAATGCAAGAATGGGCTGCTTGTACAGTGCAACTGCAGTCTAGAAGCAGCAGGACACCTGACACTTACAGATCTGTAAAGTCAGAGACAGGAGTCCATGATGCCTTCTGAAATGGTGAAAGACAGAAATGATCTCAGCTGCGCACTGGAAAGCTGCCAACTCCCCTCTAGATCCACATTCCCAGTGACTCTCCAAACTGGCAGATCAGCGGGGAAAGTGCTGCGGCGGCTGACCCATTCCTTTGACCAAAGGAAGCCATAGAAAACCAGAATAAAACCCGTGGTTTCAAACCTAGACTCTTTCTTTGTGGCTTCCATGACTGGGCCCACAAGCAGGGTAAGAGGGTGGACAAAAGGACAGTGGCTGTGAGGGTGAGAACAGGTCTATCGGTGTTCAATGGCCCTGAGGATGCAGGGTCCTGCCGGCCACCCCACCCCACCACCCACACTCCCTCCAACTCCTATCATCACAGCCAGGAGCCCAAACAGAGCTTTGGATCCAGGCCCATTCTTTACTGGAAATAACTAGCCTATTGCAAACACTAACTATTATGAACACAAGAAATGCAGCATAACACAAAAGCACTTTGTGAGAACAGCCAAAGGCTTCTTTATTACTAACCATAATGAAACTAGTGAAAAGCATAGCCCCTGTTTTCCTGACCTGGCATGTTCCCCTCTGGGCTCCAGTGACAGGGACCTTTGTAGGGCTTCTCCCCAGAAGGCCAGGGACTCCAGGAGCTAGGTAGCTTGCAATCATGTTTCTGTACCCGTCATGAAGGTGAAGCTTCTTACGGAACTTACCAGGCCTGTGCATCACTGGGGGCCCCAGGAAGCCCCTGAATTAGCCATCCAGGGAACGGGGGGGGGCTGGAGACAGCAGAGGGTGGGTGTCACCTGTGTAATTCTACAGGAGGAGTGAAAAGATGAGGCCTCCTTATCGAGATGGTGAAGGAAGATGTTTTGGGGATCACTGTTCTACAAATTATCAGAGAACCCTGCCTAGATCCCTTAACTCCCTGCCTCCTGGGGATGTTATGATGTTGAAGTCAAGCTGCAAGCTTGTGTGTAGCTTTGCCCACCGCTCTAGGCCACACTATGGCAACAGAATCCTTGGTGGCTCAAGGCCTGTCTGTGCAGTGTGGACACTGCTTGAGCACATGTTGAGTTGGTTCTGTGCCCCAGGTTTGCTATATATGAACTAACAGTAACAGCTAGCTCACCACCCCAGGTAGATCATCACAGAAGATTTCCAATGCTCACCCTTGTAATACCACCAACAGTCTGGTCTTCTTGCGGATGTAGGCTGACTGGCGGGCAGAACGGTTCTGTTGGGCCTCCAGGGTGCTGGAAAGGTATTTCTGGAAGTGTGCAGCATGAAAACATTCTGAGCTATCCATGATTTGGCGGTACACCATCCACCTGGAAAGAGCAAATGTAGTCTCAGCACGGGACCACTTGATGGCTTGGCCCTGTAAGCTCAGCCATGAATTCAAATGTAAGCAGTACTCTCAAAGACATTCTGCCAACTGAATTCACACAGGAGAAAGCAATCTGGACACCACATAAAAAGATAAGGCCATTTGGGAGGCTGAGGAAGGAGGATCGCTGTGAGTCCAAGGCCAGCCAAGGTTACAAAGTGAGTTCAAGGCCAGGCTCAACTGTATAGTGACACCTTGTCTCAAAAAGACCAAAAAAAAAAAAAAAAAAAAAAAGACGAGGGCATCAGCTGGGTTGACATCTCTGTATCATGAAACCACCACCATCGAGACTTCTGACAGGAAACCCCATGCCACAGGGGAAAATGACCAAGTATCTCAGAGGTGAGAAAGACTCCTGACCACATAGTGATTTCCTGAGGGACCATGTAATAAAATGGTTTCAGTTTGGGGCTCAGTAAAACTCTTGCTAAGAATAAGAAATGAGCAAGTGAAGAGTCCAGAATGTGTGTAGAATAAAAGGCCTATACATGAAAAACCAGTTAGCCATTACTTATTAAATGAAGCCCAATATTTCCCTAGCATTTCCCCAGAACTCTCCTCCCCATCTCCCAACTCTCCAGGCAAGTTCAATCTTCCCAGTTCTTCTACAGCCTCCTTCAGGATACTTATTTTGGAGTACACTAGCTACATATTAAATGCCTGGCTCAATCAGCCAGGGTTGATTAGTAATCTGCCAGCCCGGAGAGGTCAGGGATGAGTGATTTTCCCCATTTCACCAGGGTCAGCACGGCCTCGCTGCACCTGGGCTCGTGCGGCCCCGCTGTGGTTGCTTCCAGGTGTTTATAACCATCATGGTTTTGACCTTGCCTGCTGGCCAGCACACTCTCAGGTCTTTGCACTTGCTCACTCTGTTACTAGGATGCTACGGCACAGACAGCACATGATTCATCCACTTATTTCTTCAGGTCTTTGCTCAAGAATGTCACCTTTTTAGTGAGGTCTTCTCTGACTGCCCAATTTAAATCTGGATTCCTACTCTAAATCTGTATTTCCTTTTTTCTGGACCTGATGTCTGACTATGTAGTTCAGACTGGCCTTGAATTTCCTACGTAGCCCAGGTCAGCCTTGAACCCATGGTGATCCCCTCCTCACTTCTCGAGTGCTGGGATTACAGGTGTGCACCACCTCACCTGCTGTAGCCTGTATTTCCTATACCCTTCTCTGCTTTATTTTCTCCACGTACTCCCCAAAGCAAAATGTAAGCTCCATGAAAGCAGAGATATTCTGGTCTGTTGTGTTCATCAGTGAATTCCCTCACAGTCAGAGAAGCACCTGGCATAAAGGAAGCACTCAGCACAATTTGTTAAATGGCTGGCTGGATGAATAGCTGTAAAGGCTGTACAAGTCTCAGGTCTCCTCAGGCCGAGGCACAGAACCCCTTTCCTTAAAGCAAAGGCAGCGACCATACTAACCTGCCATATTCCTTATGCAGAGTGACCAGAAAAGCACAGAGCTCGCTGGCATGACAGCCTGGGAGTCCGGTTACAATGCTGATGATTACCTGCATGAAAAAAGCCACACGGGTTTGCAATCCAAGTGAGAGGCAGCACTGTGCAAGAGAATCGACTAACTTCCGAGTAAGGGTCTGTGGCTTTGAACCTCGGCGCCATCAATCACCAGCACTGTGACCTTGGACCATGATAAAACCTGACTTGTAGAGTGGGCGTAAGAATCACAGAGTAAACTTATGTTAAGTGCTTACAAGAGTGCCTGGTCCAGAGCAAATTCTGCATAAAATGCAGCCTTACTATTTTAATTTCAGTGGAGCAGGTTGTGACACATCAGTTAAAATACAATGTGTTAAGGAATCTGCCTGCTTCAGTTCACAGAGCTCTTTTATAAAGCAGACACTCAAGGATATTATGACTTCTTTCCAATAGAATACTCCTTAGAAACACACTGGGCAGAAAGGACGTCTGGGACAAAAACGCCTCAGGCCACACTGGTGTACAGCAGGGTGGAGGACAGGAGCTGCACTGGGACACTTCTGCCTGGCTGCCTGTGCCCTCTGAGCCACACGGCCTATGCTGAGTCGAAACTCCCTGGGCGTGGGAAGCACTTCTGATTCCTGAAGAGAGAAGCCATCTGGATGGTTCTGACCTCATTACATGTTCACACAGAAACAGAAACAGGTTCTCGTCAGGCAGCCATTCCAAAGCCATTTAAGAAACTCACTGGCTAGGCATGGTGGCACATGCCTGTAATCCTAGTGCTTGGGAGGCTGAGGCAGGAGGGTTGCTGTGAGTTAGAGCCCAGCTTGGGCTACATTCTACATTGTGAGTTCAAGGCCAGCCTGAACTGCACAGCAAGATCCTGTCTCAAAACAAAACAAAACAAAACAAAACAAAAAAAACAGCCAAACAAAGAAAGTCACCAAATTTGGACAATTAAATGCTGCTATCTTGTACTCTTAGTGACTAATTTAAAGATAATAATATGCAATGTATTAACTGTTGTTACCCTATTATCTTGTTTCGAAATTTTGTTTTCTCTTTAAAATTAAAAAAAAAAAGTCACCAAAAAAGAAGACATCAAGCACGGGACAGGAGCCATGCAAGTGCTGAAGGATGTCTGTGCTAATGGCAGAGCATGGCGAGGCCTAAGCATATTTTTGTTGTTACTGTTTTTGAGATAGGGTCTCACTATGCAGCCCAGGCTGGTCTTGAACTCACGGCACTCTTCTTACCTCAGCCTCCCTACTGCTGGGATTACAGGTGTGCATCACCACACCCAGCCCTAGTATATGTTTTATTTTACAATAAACAAGACTCACGGAGGCAGGGCCAGTTACAGGTACTAATGCTAACCTAAGCCTGGTGGTACTCATCACCCAAACCGGCTCCTGCCTCTGCTGTGGGCACCTGGAGCTCGTGCTCGTCTTCTGACCAGGGCCTCTATACTACATGTCTCTCTGCTCCCTGGGCAGTTCTCATATAACTGACATTTTGTTGATCCTATTCCCATCGAGCTCTCCCTATCTTGGTTCCTGTTTCTCAATGCCTAGGTATCAGCCCCTCAAATCACTGTACACAAGAGCATAGCCAGTCCTACAGCACCTTTTAAATAAAATGTAACAAGTTTGCATTTTTAAGCTTTTTACACATTCCCATAAGGAAAAAAATGGTACTTCTAATTGCTTAGTGCATTTGTTTCCTTTTGCAACTAAGTGTCTTTTAGATTTGTACAGAAATAAATGCCCCATTTGAGTCTATTATGATATATGTCTCCCCAAGAAATGATGGGAGGAAAGCATGAGGTAGGAATAGATTAAAATCCACTCTGGAGGTGAAGCGTGGTGGTGCATATCTATAATTCCAGGACTCTGGGAGGCTGAGGAAAGAGGATTACAAGTTTGAGTCCAACCGGGACAATTTAGTTAAGACTTTATCTTAAAATAAAAAAAGCAGCCTAGGGATGTAGTTCAGTGCAAGGACGCTGGGTTCAACACCCAGTACTAGCCCCTGTCCCCTGCTGCCCCCAAAAAAATCACTTTGAAAAGGATAAAGTTTATCTAGACGCTCACCTTACTCCGGTCATTCTAGCCAGGCTGGGATAACATGAGAGAGCACAATGTGCTGTCCACTGCTAGGTACAGTAAATCCTACTCACAACCAGAAAGAGCTGATAGTATGAGGGCACTGAGGAAGAGTGTACGAGATCTGGAGAAGAAAGGGGAGGGCATGGCAAAATGCTAGTGTTTACTGCTGTTACAGGGCTTGGCCTCACACAGTCATTGCATAGAGTGGGCTCTGTGTGCTGTATTTTATCGGTATCCAAGGAGGTGGGGAGAGTTATAAAAATAAAAAGGACTCCACCTAAGCTCCTTTTGTTAACTGACACAAAAGATCCAAGATCCAGGCTCTCAGATTATCCTTCTGGGAGTTCCCAGTACACTTGGTGAGCTCCTCTACCTTGTCATTTTCTATTCTGTGACAGGGGCTGAGCTCAGCTTGTTGCAGCAGCACGGGGAGATGGGTCCGCATCACAGGCTCCCGACTAATGCTGCTGAAAGCGAAATGCTGGAGAAACCTGGAAAAACAAAGACAGTGCTACTAAGTTACCATCACCCAGCCTTGCCGGATATGCCAACTTACACGAGCAGCTTCTTACTGCTGAAAAATAAGCCTTAGAGAGGTTCTCTCTAGTGAATACATTTTTGTCTTATTTTTTGAGACAAGGGCTTGCTATATAGTTCAGGCCAGTCCTGAACTCACTATGTAGCCCAGGCTGTCCTTGAACTTGGCAGCAATCCTCCTGCCTCAGCTTCGCGAGTGCTGGGATTACAGGCATGCGCCACCATGCCCCACTCTAGTAAATAAAATTTTGTATGGTTTGCCACTACTGCTTTTTACAAGGACTCCTAAGAAGCTATAAAGAAAGAAGTTTTTAGACAAGACCAGCATGTAGGTTTCTGACATTTCAGAGCTGGCTTGTCAGGTATCTGAAGTCACATATGCAGAGCTCACCAGTCCAGCTCTGGGAGTCTGGCTAAGAGCAGCTTTAGAGAACTCCACTTCTCTCCCGCGGGATGACTCAGGGCAATGAAGAGCTTCTGTGCCCTGGCGTGCCTGCAACAGCAAAAGCTCACAGGTTAGAACCCACCTCTCAGAGCACGCTGCTCTATACTGGCTCTGAGGCTTTCAAGCCAGGGCTGTGACAGGCAAAGCTTTCATGTAAGCATCTGACTTAAACCAAATGTGGTGTTGGGGCCTGACGAATGGCGTGGCCACGGAGGAAGTATGGTCCCAAAGCCCCTCACAGTAGTGTCACTTTCTGATTCCCAGTGCAGTCGTCTTTCCTGTCTTCAGTTTCCCCAAGGGCACTGGCTACTGGCAGGCTGGCAGCATGCAAACCACTGCTGGTCCTTCCAGAAGCCAAAAGCCCTGCGTTACATAAGGGGAGGCACCCTGCAGAGAGCATACCCACAGCACAGGGAACTGAGCGTAAACACTGAAGGCAGCCACTTACAATCTCTTTTGTTCCACAGATAATCCATCTTCCTGGATCACTTTTAAAGAGAGCCCTGAGTTATCCTGCTGTTGCCAGGGGGAGAAGACCTAAACAAAACAGAATTTGAGCAAAGAACACTTTAAACCCAACAACAGGATATGGAATCCACATGGGGATTTGATGGTTGCTGAAAACCTAGACTATCAGTGAAGAGAAAAGTGATTATAACAAACAAGTTTGTTTCAAAAAATACGGCCAGAAGCAACTCTGTCTTATGTTTTTCAAAGCTAGAAATGTCCTTCTGGTTCCTCTCCTTAGGGAGGAAGGTGTCTAGTAACACTCTGGCAACCAGGGCAAGCTCTTCCCTGCTGACAGGGCCAGGCACTTCCTGTGTCCAGCAGCGGGATGGCTGAAGAGAATCCAAGTCTGTCTCTGGGTTCCCCAACGGAGAGCTTGTGTGGAGTTCCAGCAGCAGAGCACAGCTACTCATATACCCTTGACCAAAGAAATGGTCCTCTATCGGGGTGGTCATCCTCTTCAACCGAGCATGTAGCTTCAGGAGGGATGCATATGGAGTGCTGAGGGAGGAAGGAGACACCACCAGCTGAATCAATCCTGGTGGTCAGTGGGGTGACAGATGTCGCAGCCAGATTGCCCTCCTATCTGTAGGTTCTCAGACTGAAAGCACAGAGAGGAAGGAAGGCCCTGAAGGCAGTAATGGGCCAAGAAACCACTCTGCAGCTGAAATTATCTCTTGTTCCTCTGTGACTGTCCTGAGGGACACTGACCCCTGACCAGCTGCTGCAATCACACCTTCCCAAGGACTGCCACCCATCACGAGGCTGGCATCAGTCTGACTCCGGCTACTTCTTGGTCTGTAAGTGGCCATGTGATTCTTGGGCAGCCCTTCCTTTAATGGGCAGCCTGCCAGTGCCCCATCTGCAAGGGAAGGGACTGTGATCCCTAGGGAAGAAGACATGGGCTGGGTAACAGAGCTCTAGTCCCATAGGAAGGGCCCATGACTCAGGGAGATAGCTAAAAGGGAAATAAGTCTACTTGGCACTTAAAGGGAAGGAAGATTTTCCTTAAAGTCTAAAAAGATTTTGTTCAGTTTTGTTTGTTGTTTTTTGGTCAAACTGGGGTTGACGCTGGGCATGGTGGCACATACCAATATTCCTAGCATGCAGGAGTCTGAGGGAGCACAGTGAGTTCTTGGCCAGCCTGAACTATATAGTGAGACTCTATCTCAAAAATACCAACCCTCCTGCCCTCCAAACCAAAACCCTGAGGATTTTTGTTGTTTTTGTTTTTTTGTCTTTTTGAGACAGGTTCCCACTATGCAGTTCAGGCTGGTTTTGAGCTCACTTTGTAGCCCAGGCTGATCTTGAACTTGCAACGACCCTCCTGCCTCAGCCTCCCGCAGGCTGGGGTTACAGGTGTGCACTACCATGCCCATCTTAAAACCTAAGGATTGAACACAGGGTGTTACATGTATTAGGCAAGTGCTCTAACCACTTTTTCTGCCTGTGATAAACCAGCACTCTCCGTGTTGACTGATTGATTGATTGAGACAGGGTCTTACTATGTAGTTCAATTCAGGCTGGCCTTGAACTCACTATGTAACCTAGGCTGGCCTCAAACTCATGGCAATCCTCCTGCCTCAGCCTCCTGAATTACAGGCTTGTGCTACTATGCCCAGCCACTTTTATTTCTGAGACAGGATCTTACTGTTGCCCAGGCTGGTCTCAGTTTCTGATCTTCCTGCCTCAGCCTTCCAGCAGTTTGGTCAGTTTCTTTGGGCTCTCACTTCACTGGCAAGAGCACCACTGCAGAACCTAAAGGGATTACTGAAGCAGCTGCCCCTCCTCTCAGCCCTCGCTACCCATGCTCTCATCACTCACCGTTAGCACTGAGACACTGTCTTACCATCTAAATTGCTAAGGGGAAAAATGTAGTAGTCGCTTTACGGAGTAGTGACTGGCATACCTCTGAGTAAAATGCTTGATAGATCTTTGATTTTGGAAAAAGGGCAATCATCAGAAAATTGCCTGATCCATGGAAATGAACTGGGAGGTGAGGAAGCAATGAGCTTTTGAAGTCGATGAGAAGGGCAGCCACAATACTGGTGGAATCCTGAAGAGAAGAGGTGAAGCATTAGCAAGAAAAGCATTTGTTTGATTCCAGTCCCTGCAGCTAGTATCAGAACACATGGGATCAACGTCAGTGCAAGTGTGCATGGAGGAGCAAGACTGGGTGTGCTTTCCATGCTCAGTTATGAGAGGCGGGGATCTTTGATCTTAAACTGACAACCACATCTCAAAATTTCTTTGATCCTAAACTGACAACCACATCTCAAAATTTCTTTCAGGGCATTAATCCCTTATCAGATACATGATCTGCAAATATTTTCTGATTTTGTGAGTTGTTGTTTTTACTCTCGAGAACATCCTTTGATGCACAGTTTAAATTTTTTGTTTTTGTGGTACTGCGGATGGAACCCAGGGTTTATGTATATTAGGCAAGCACTACCACTAAGGAATATCTCCAGCCCTTCTTTTTTTTGAGATGGTCTCATAAAATTGCCAAGGCTGGTGGTCATACTTATGATCCTCCTGCCCTGATCTCCTGAGTAGCTGAAATTATATGCATGCACCACCATGCCCCAACAGAATTTAAACTTTCTGCCCCCGTACTGGGAACTGAATCCAAGGCCTTTGCACCAAGATATGGTCCAGGCATTTTTAAAAAGTTTGAAACAGGATCTTGCTAAATCACTAACTTGCCTAGGATAACCTCCAGCTTCAACCTCTTGCCTCATCCTCCCAGAGTGCTGGGATTACAGGCATGGGCCAGGAATATCTGTATCTTGCTTGTTGTGATGGTGACTGCATGAATTATACAGCTGTCAGGCTTTCAATGGACATAGTTAATTGTATTTAAAGTATACTTCAATGAATTGTTTTTATTTATTTACTTATTTTGGTTTTTTGAGACAGAGTCTTGCTATGTAGCTCAGGCTGGCCTTGAACTCACTAGGTAGTACAGGTTAGCCTCAAACTCACAGTGATCCTCCTGCCTCAGCCTTCCAAGTGCTGGAATTACAGGTGCACCACTACACCTGGCAACACTGAAGTTTTTACCTAACAGGGCCAACTGATCTGCCCATTTGGTCTGCCTACATTTCTGAAGTCACTAGGAAGACAGGTTTTATGTGAAAGACTTGCTCATTAACTCATCTTCTGAGCAATCTGACTGAAATAGCCCATCTCATTTGTCCTGGCTTAAGGCTGGCTTTAGAGCTGAGACCAGTGTCAGTGGAAAGCCTGCCCTCTGCTGCTCTGTCCCACTGGGAGTTATGCTGTGTCTGCCAGTGAGTACAGGCTGGGAAAATTCAGAGCTATTCTTCTAAGGGGAAGAGTAAGTGGGTGAATTTAAACAATGGTACTGGGGCTGGTGGGTTCATGGAACTAGAGATTAAGTCTGAGTACATGAGGGAGGTGGGGCTGAACCCTCACAGGAAGTTAGCCACTTTCCCCTCTTGGCCCTCTTACAGTCCTGTCTGTGTGACTGCCTGTGAGGGGCCACTCACTGAGGCTTCTTCAGTCTACTTCCCAGTACTCTTTGGGATGAGTGACTTGGGCAGGGGTATCTGTTGGCAAATGCTGAAGCACTGACTAGGCAAAAGAACTGCAAGTTCAAGTCCCAGTCTTGGCAATTTAGCAACGTACTAAAACTGTGTTTCAAAATAAAAAAAACTGAGGATGAAGATCAGTATAAAGGCTCTGTGCTCCATTCCAGGCCTGCAAAAAAGAAACAAACAAACAAACATGCATATCTTTCTGATTCCCAAAGCCATGAGCTAGTAAAACACCTACCCCATCATAGAAAGAAACAGAATTCATGTGATCCTTAGAAATGATGATATTCCCATGATGGCGGTGAGAAAATAAAAGGCCACTGGAGAAGAAATGCACAGTCCCTGAAAGGAAGAGAAAGAGCTGTCAGAGCTGGAGAGATGGGTCCTGGGGGCCAGATTCCAATGTGCCCTCCTTCAGACACCAGAGTGCTTACTGCAGACTAGTGTCAGTGTTATGGCTTGTGTTAAGATGTCCTCTCAAAGCCTCATGCAACTCTAAGTGGGGCTTTTTCAGAGGTAACTGGATCTAGATTGATTCATGGTGAAATGTTAGGATCAAGGGCACTAGGATTAGGGTGTGAGTGCTACCCATCCAAAGGGCAGACAGCCTGGATACAGTTTAAGGGACAGGAAGAGGCTTGTGGGTAGTTCCTTGTAGTTTTTCACTGGCTTGCTTTTGCTGTCTCCTGCCTGCCATAAACTGCTTTTCCTCTGTGATGCCCCTCTGCCATGCCACCCTGCCTTACAGCCAACCGATCATGGAGTGAAACCTCTACAAAATGTGAAATGAAGTAATCCTTTCTTCCTTCCTTTAATTTGGGGTTTTGGGTATTTTGTCTCAGCAATGAGGAAAAGTAAGGCAGTCAGTAGTGCTTATATTACCCAGTTCATATGCTGAGCCCTGTGCTCTAGGGAAATCAAAGTAACTCCACAGAGCCTTGGAAAGAAATGAGGCCCCAGATACAATCTTTGTATAAGTATTAGAAAAAACAAAAAGTATGTGGCAAGGAAAGGCAAAATTCACATTCCCTTTTAGGTTTCTTCTAAGGAAACACACTAAAAAAGACCGGGTATAGAGTCTGCTCCATTACTGAGCTGACAGACTTTCTCCTTCCTCCTGATGTGACAGAAGCTGGCTCAGCCCTAGGGGATCACTTCCCTCACACGGCCTAAGAAACAGCAGCAGGGATTCAGCTGAATTCTCAGCTGGTGATGTGGCCAGCAAAGCAACATCTAAATTAGGTGCTAAGTGGATTACACAGACACTGGGCACTGCTGTTCTACCGTTCCCCAAAACAAGATGGGTGGCAGGTGGATACTGGGTGTGGGACTTTCAGGTCAAGAGTTCAGGTATAAGGAGCGCTGCTGCTTCTCAGGTGCACAGTCACAGGAAAAAGCTCAGTCTAGGGCCTAAGGAAAAGGATGGCTAATTAAGACACAGAAGAGAACACAGAAAAGATGGGTAACTAAGATGACAAAGATTAAGGCTTGTTCTGGAGTCCAGAGCACCCATCAGACCCCTGGGGAAGCTGCTCTCTGGAGCATGTCCAAGTTAGATTCTTTCTGTTCCTGTAACAGTCTTCCTTTGCAGATTTTCACATATAGAACAGAAAAAAGGAGTTCAGCACACCTTTCAGAGATATCACTAATATCTTATTGAAAGGTAAAGATCTAGAAACAAAGAAAAGGTAACATAAGTCCTTGAGTTGTAGCTCAGAGAAGCAGCCTCAAATCTCTGGAGGTTGCAAAGATAAGAACAAAGGTAGCTGAGCTGGGTATGGTGGCACACACTTGTAATTCCAGCACTCAGGAGGCTGAGGCAGAAAGATTGCTGCAAGTTCAAGGCCAGCCTGGGCTACATAGTGAGTTCAAGGCCAGCCTGTACTACATAGCAAGGTCCTGTCTCAAAAAACCAAAAATAGGCACAGGGAGCCATGGGTGGGGAGTGCCGGTCTTCTGGCTGGCTAGCCTCCTGCCTCATAGGCTCCCGGAGGGAGGGCCCCCGGCGAACGGGGAGCCTCGGGCAGGGAGCGCCGGTCTTTGGACCGGCGGCTCACTCCCTGCCTCGTAGGCCCCTGGAAGGAGGGCTTCCGGTGCACAGGGAGACATGGGCGGGGAGTGCCGGTCTTTTGGCTGGCTAGCTTCCTGCCTCGTAGGCCCCTGGAGGGAGGGCCCCCAGTGCATGGGGAGCCATGCGGCGGCGAGCGCTGTTGCGCGCCACCCCTTAGGCCGGCCGCCGCCGCTCAATTGAGATCTATCGTGACACAGAGAAACAGTGACACAATTGGCCCACCATGCACCGACTGCAGATGCCTACCCACGGACGTGTGTGAATCATTCAAACTTTGAACAACCCCTGGGAATATATGCCATACAACGGGCCACTCTTGCTCCTGCCATTGAGAACCAGAAAGGTCCAGAACCAGCAGAGGAGCAGCTGCTGAACAAGGACTCAGAGAACATGAGAATGCAGACTAAGCCCACGGAGTCAGAGGTCCTGTGGACTGGGGTCACAAGAGCCGCTCGGAAGCTGTAAACCAGGAGGACCTTGCACAATACTTGCAGAGACTCCCTGGAAGCCATTCTTCCCCTGACAGTACAGGCTGTGGTGGAGCTCCGGAGAAGTCTGCAGCAGGATTCCTTCTGCCTGTGCTGACAGTTGGGGAGAGGACACTAACTGGTTGTGGGGTCCCAATGCGATGGGAGGCTGGAGAGAAAACGCTACAAAAAATGGCTTTGGCCCCAGACGGCTCACTTGATTTTTGACAACCCTTAGGCTGTAACTACTTGTTAGATCCTTCTTGCGTATCTCTGTCTTCCTGAGAAACCACTTCTAAGATACCACCATGTATTACAGCAGGCACTGATATTTTCCTACTAATCTATCCATAACTCTGTAATGTTTGTATTGTTCCTATCTTGTTTCATAAATGGATGCATGTTTATTATTATGTGTTTCCTACAACAAGCATTGAGAATTAATGAATGATTATTCAATAGGTCACTCATGTATAGCTCTATTTATTTTCTTTAGAAGCCACTTTGAAGATACCTAAGTATAGTACAACAACTATTGATAATCTACCTCTTCTGTCTGTAACTCACTATTATTTGTCTATTTGTTTTCCTGAGAAACTATCTTGTAGATAACAATATGTAAAACAATAACCATTGATAATTTCCTACCACTTTGTCTGTAATTTGGTAAGCCCCCCTATTATTATGTTATCCTTCTTTTACTCTTTAAAATAAAAAAAAATAAAAAATAAAGGCAAAACAAAAACAAAAACAAAGGGCAAAAGGCAAAGGAACTGAGAATGGTGGTGTATGCCTGTAATTGTGGCAACTTTTGAGTGGCCGAGGAGGAGGATTACAGGTTTGAGATCAACCTGGGCAATTTAATGAAACCTGTCTTAAAATAAAATAAAAAAGGGCTGGGTATATATAGCTCTGGAGTGTTTGCTAAGCATGCACCAGGCTCTGAGTTCAATCCACAATAACACACACACACACACACACACACACACACACACACACACACGAAGGACAACAAAACAAAACAAAGCAGGAGTAAAGGCCAGGAGTGTGAGGCCTGCTTCTGAATCAGGGGTGAGGGATCTGAAGGTTTCCTGAGAAGGTGGGTTCTGAAAGGAAGGGAAGGGCCTAGTGAATACGTGTTACAGAGAGAAGGGGAGAGAGAGGGGAATGGGAGGCTGTTTTCAGGTACAAGAAGTAGGTGTACAGCCTGATTCTCAACAGAAGTATGAGAGGGTCAAGTCATGAAGATATGCCAACCCTACCACCATGACAGTGATCCAGGGCAATAGCAGCCAGCCCAGTTCAAGGCATCCAGGTTCAAGCCTGTAAGCCTTTCTATCTTCCAACAAGTAAAGCCTGGCTTTCCCCATATACCACCTCCCCACAAGGCCTGTCCTCACCCCAAGGTCCTCACCCCTACTCCCAGGTCTCTATACTTTTGCTCCCTGGGGGATATAAATTCCTCCCTGCCTTTATGGCCCATGTCTTCTGTCCTGCTCATGCCACAGTATTTCAAACAGCTCAAAGTGCTGTCACCCCTTCCAGAGGCCACGCTACCACTTCTTTTGAGAGGCCGTGGGGAGGGTCCAGGCCACACACCTCCTCAAGGCCAACTGCATAGCAGTGACACAGAACCTGGGTCACCTCACCTGAATCTTTAGATCCAGAGCCTACTTTCTGACTCCAGCATCTCATCCTTTTATCTTTTTGTTTGGTCTTTTTGAGACAGGGTCTCACTATGCAGTTCAGGCTGGCCTTGAACTCACTTTGTATCCCAGGCTGGCCTCAAACTCACAAGGATCCTCCTGTCTCAGCCTCCTGAGTGCTGGGATTACAGGTGTGAGCCACCACATCCGGCTTCATCTTTTTATCAATGTCTCCAAACCCTGTCCTCTGATACTCCTCAGCCTAAAAAGCTAAGTAATTTTGGACATTCCTTTCATTTATATCAAGGACTGATCCCCTGGACAGGAGGTATCTTAAATCTCTGTTTTATCAAGGAAAAATGACGGGAATAGACTATTTTTAACAGTTGCAAAGTTTTATCAAAGGTAAGAAAAGAAACATGCTCTGCAGAACAAGTTTGGGCCAAGTAAAAGTAAGAAAAGAAGTACAAAATAAAAAAAAGAAAAAAAAAAAAAAGAAAAAAAAAGTTCATCCTAGCCAGGTATGGTGGCACATAAGATCACCTTGAGTTCAAGGACAGCCTTGTCTACATAGTGAGTTCAAGGTCAGCCTGCACTACAAAGCAGGACCCTGTCTCAAACAAAACCAAAGAAAAAGAAAAAGAAAAATACACTCTATAGCATGAGTGTGGGCCACCATGAAAAACAGAATACAATGGCCAGAGTTTATTTTATTTATTATTATACAATGGCCAGAGTTTATTTTATTTATTATTATTATTATTGCCTTTTTGAGATAGGGTTTCAATATGTAGTTCAGGTTGCTCTTGAAATCACTTTGGGGCTGGTGATATAGCTCAGTAGCAAAAGTGTCTGCCTGGCAAGCGCAACGTCCTAAGTTTGATTCCCAGTACCAAAAAAAAAAAGAACTCACTTTATAGCCCAGGCTGACCTTGAACTCATGGGTATCCTCCTGCCTCAGCCTTTCAAATGTTGGGACTATAGGTGTGCATCATCATACCTGGTGGGTATTTTTATTTTAGGTACAAGAAGAAGGTGTACAGCCTGATTGTCAACAGAAGTATGAGAGGGTCAAGTCATGGAGACATGTCAACCCTACCAGGCTGTATACCTTCTTCTTGTACCTGAAAAAAGAACAACTTTATTCAGTATTTTTTT